TCGACTTTACATAAAAATAGGCACATGGAAAGGATATAGGTGATTAAGAAGCAATGTTGGATACGCTAACATACTATACAAACACATTTACGAATCGGTGTTGTCCGAGGGTTTTTGACATAAAGAACGTTACAAAAAAAAACGTAAAGATTAAACCAAGAATTATTCCGTTGAGTTCTTAATACATCTGAATCAATAACAACCGAAGTCACAGAAAACGTTTTTTCGAATGTCCTGTTTCTTGTAGACTAATAAACTTGATTATCGTTTCCGGTCGTAGAAAGCACTAATAGAGTTTATTAGTTGTTTTATTTTCGTCTAACCAACCAAACTTCTATTTTTGCGTCTCCCATCCTTAATCAATAATTCCATTAAAGTTTTATCTTGCTAAGGTCACAATGGATAAGCAGTACACGTGGTAGTATTTATAAACTTCTTCCAAGACAATGGAGTCTAGCAGGCGATCCAATCTAGTGCGAAAATCCAAGAGGGCTTAGTCGTTCCGAGAGTCTTTCGTGAATGAATTCTGCTTTTAAAACGCCGTACAAACATTAAGAGACACACACACACAAACGGACTACTTCCGTGTTTTTCATGCGCGATATTATGGTAGTGCAACAACCTCTGCCTTTACATTCGATAGGAATAATCCTAACCCTATAGCTCCCAATCTCGGGTTGAGCAGAAGAAGCCGTGGGGATAGCTGCTTCTTTGGGTACAAATAGTCCTGCAGCCGCGTGACACATCAGGCGAGATTTTTTATTTTCTTCTTAAGACGGTTTGAATAACACCGTTACGTACGGGTCTCACTAAGGTAAAGCCCATTATTTTTTTTTATGTTGGTCGGATGGCCCAGTCCTGACAGCTGGACTTTCTGTTAAGACAGCTATTCTTTTATCATTATTATATATATATATATATATATTTTTTTTTTTATGCAATCGGATTTATGCACTTATGATGTGAATCATATATACAACAATGAACTGTTAGATATAGAGCTTTGTGAGGACTTTAGGTAACATGGTGCTATGAAAATCGATCATGTTTATTAATACCACTTCCATTGTAGAGTGAGTAATATAACGACATGGGAAATCCCGTTTCTTTCCTATCATGTTGTCAACCTAAGTAAGCCACTTTTACACAGATATGACACACTAATATTACAAGCATTTTGAAGTCGGTCAGCATCACAAAGCGTTATTCTCCCACTAATGATCTTGTTAAATAATAGCCAATATAATAATACCAAATTCAAACATTCTGATAACAAATTTCGTATCGGTGTCGCATTATGATCAACGTTTTCCTTAACATAGTCCATTTGTCTACTTTTACATGCTAATTAACATTACTGTAATTCGGAGTGATGGCCATGCATTGCATTGTGTGTGTATTAGACTCGTAACAAATAAAGATATCTCCATATAGGTCGTTAGGTTACCTTGTCGTCGCTAGCCACTCTGAGGTTTATTCGCATAAAAACAAGTACCGACTGTCGTTCGTTATAGCTCGTTGCGTTTCGGGGTACTTGAATGCCGGTGAATTTCAAATTTTGCGCTTTTAAGTCATATCAGTACAAAATCAATATGGCATATACGCGCCAAAATTCGAAATCAACTGTTAGCCATGCAGCGGCGCAGTATAACCGCTGTCCTGTACCACTTCCACTGTGTTCGACTTCGAAGAATAATTACCAAAGCGGTCTTTTTCCATCTGGTATGAATAGAAGCATTTCCTCCCTGCAAAAGAAGGTTTTAGAAGAACTTGATCTCGTTGGATAATCACGTTGTTCTGAGTGTGGCTTTGCACGGAAAGGCATTCGTTTGCGTTGCATAATCCTCAGTTTTATAACAGGAAAATAGTTTCCCGTTCTGCCTGTACTCCATTGCCCGCCCTTTGATTGATTGACTAAATTGATCTTGCGGCTGTCATAATCTGCCACGTCAAATCAGTAAACACGGCACCGGCAAGGGAAGACTGACTTATGAAGTTGAGTCCGATGAGTTCGCTCTGGTTCATCCTGTATTTTAGAATTTTATGTACCATTCAGCCGTAAGCATAAATGCGAACGATGTCATGATTTTGAAAGTCTCGAGGGCGCGGTCGCTTTGACTGATTTGCTCTGCCACAGACCGAAAAATTATAAAAGTGAACGCAGCAATTTGCTTGCGATAGATTATTACGTTAAGAAAAAAAACGTACAGTACGTTGATCCTGAACTTATCGTGTCTGACAGAATTTGGTCTTTTTATAGAGATTCGTAATACGCCTCGGAGAAAGATAGTCGTCTTCATGTTATTTGTAAATATTCATATGAAAGGTAAGGACGGTCCGATAGACCGAACAAGTATCTGTAATTAATAGTAATAACAACGGTTGCATTGCAGCAAAATCGACAATATATTCGATGTCGAATTGTCGAGCACTTCTTACTTTGCGAATCTTATTGTCATTTTTTAAATAATAAAAACAGTTTGGTCAACCAGCACTTCTATTACGCTGTGAAGACCGAGATGGCGGTACGGCAATCCTTGCAGGTTGGGCATTAGTCGGTAAGCGCGAAACTATATTCTCATTCGTTACCAATTAAGGAGCATTCGTTAGTAAGTTGCATCGATACCGTGAATTCAATAGTTAGTGAACTAAAATTGCAACATAGTCCCAGACAATCGAAATGAACCGCGTTACATCTGTTTCTAAAGTCAGCAGATTGTACAAAAAGTAGCAATTTCCCACGATAAAATCGAGTCTTCCTTAACTTCTCGAACGTAAGTGTAATCAATTTAATTCGCCTTTATAATCAGGCACAGCAAAAGTCATGAGTCGCGTCTTATTATTCCGGTGTATTTCTAAAAAAAAAAAAGGTACAACAATTCACAAATAATAATAGTCGGCACCTTTACTATTTATAGAAGAAATGAGCTTCTTAGGCCATGGCAGAGGACAACTGTCGCCAATCTATAGGATGGACCACGTTTAGTATAGTTTTGTGCTGATTTGCTGCATTCACGTGGAGTAGGTACGCATTGATACTAGCGGCGCGGATGTTTTGGCAGAAGTTTTGCCGAGGTTAATTTTAATGATAATGAGAATGTGATTTAAGAATTAAGAGGTTAGGTAAACGTTCTATGAACGTGAACAGCCGCGTGAGACAGGTGAGGAGTTGCGATAAAAAGAGTTAAGATAATAATTTTGGCTCACTAACTATTGCGATGTGTTATTGAAACAGAAATCAGCGTGCGCGATTCGTTCATATTCAATTTAATAACTAATAATAGTAATATTAGTAATGTTCATATATAAACTCGTGTTTAGAACATCTTATTCTAATGTTTAAAAATTAAAAAGGTAACTACTTTAATTCACGCTGGCAGATAACACGGCCCGATTATATGGTATTTTTTTGCAGGGGGTGAATGTGTACTCTAATGTGTAGTGTGCTTCATCGACATTTACGGGCTGAAATTCTACTTCTTCGGACATATCGCTGAAAAAGACTGCATCTATTAATTGACCGTTCTCGATGAATCCCTAACGTAAAAGTATTTTATATGTGACGGAAAAGGTCTTATGATGATGAAAGTAACAAAAAGATAATTCGATAAATCACCGTAAGAAATACACCCGGTTAGGAAGCAGTTAGTGATATAGAAGGTACAAGAGAATATTTTCCGACCGGCAAACGCTCATGTCTAACGGCCATTATTTTGAAAGACCAATAATATGTCACTTGTTAGGTGTCAATAGTGGTAACGTCAGAGTGTTATCGGTACGCTAAAGTTAACATCAGTCATGACTTTAATTAATAATAATAATGTTTCCGGGAGTCGACTCTAATTCCATAGCTAGGTTCACTATATGGTATTATATGGTACCAGCTGGTGCTGATTGCAGGATCTGGCTTTGATCATATGAATCAAACTGGTTATTTATGGTAAATAAATAGATGCATGCAAGATATCTCATACGATTTCAGCTCTGTTCCAAACATTCTAAAAATTAGATATAGATTCCTCTGGCAAAAATCTCTGGCAGCCGCTCAAAGAGAGATTTTCAATTAAATTTATCCACAAGCTTCACATATGTTTGCATTTAGAAAAGCCAGTACGCTACGCTCTTCTCATCATATACACATCGTCACACGTCATCAGATTCATTACATGGCAGGTCGATCAATTTAGTAAATGATATGACTGATATACGAAGAGATACGTCCATTTATATCTGGCTATATCAGTTAATAGTACTGAGGAAGAGATGATCATACAAACCTTGATAATTTTATTGTATACTATTAATTCTGCTCACAATCTGAGTATTAGCAGACTCATCTGTTAGGACCTGTCAAAGATAACGGCTGAACAAATACCTCATCTTCCAATGAAAACTTTTCTTCGTCGAAATCAGAGCCAGTTTGAATAATAAAAATAGTAAGAAAACAAAGATACGCTTAAGCCTTTGTATAGATATTGACGAAATCCTTACCAAATAAAATCCTTGCAGTGCGAGCAGAAGGTTGGTTGCTTAAAGAAGCGTGGTAGGAACTTGTGGTCTTTGACGACGAACACGTTCTTCTTTTTTAGGGCTCCCTTTCGGGCGCGCAGTCTGAAGCCGCCTTCGACGGATCCACCGCCGGAGTGGTTCATCGTGAGCCCCATATCTCCCCCCGTACCCTCGCCACTCGAGTTTGTGTCGCCTTCACTCATTCTGGAATCGGATAAAGTGAGACTGATGTGATAGAATATTTATTATAATAGCGAAACGTTTACTTGGTTACTAGAATTACTAAGTAGTCGCGTATGACCTAGCGATGTCACGATAGTTGGGTAATATATTGCATACACGAAATAATTCAAAAATGACTTTTAGTGCACTATATCATACGCTTACTACTTAGTAATGTAATAACCGACAATTTTTTGTGATCTAAGCGTTTCTATGAATAACAAACAAAAATATTTTTTTATTTCATTAACAAGCTGATAATGATGCATTTTCGTTACAGATCCGCAATCGAATTGTACAATTTATTGGCACGATCTGCTGTTCAATATCAATGTATGATTATTATTTTATTGCTTCAGGCTTTTTATTGTCATTATTATTATTTTATACGGTGAAGAACTGTTTGTGTTTCGAGGTTGCTTTCACGTCGACATGCCTTTGTCAGCGCATGTAGCATAAGACAGATCAACGTGCACATACTTTAAAATAACAACCTCATTATAACTAGCTTCTTCTAATGTCTTCAGCGATAACTATCATACGTTTATAGTATTGAACAATTAGCCAAGAAAAATATATTGAGTTCAGAACATTGCTGTAGGCTGGTTAATTGATGGAAGAAATTGGAACGGTGAAGTTTCATTATTCGTTCGGACACTCCTTCGACGGCTATTGATCGCTAATGAAGTTAATTTGAGGGTGTAACTTTTGTACCGGTTGTCGGTAAAAGGACGCCTCGTATCGACGCCGAACGTTGCCATTTTCACGAATTGAAGCTTGCCTGTGCGTTTACATCTGACTGAACCGAAAGTCTTTAACTTGGAAAAATGTCGAGTGAACAAAAGACGCGACACGTGTCACATAATGCGCGGCGTAGTACCACTGGTAAGAAAGCCGAATCCCCCTCTGATCAAGCGACAAACAACCAAATACCCAAACTTTCACGGGTTCATGCATATACATCATAAGGTTCGATTTAGGGTAACCTTTTAACAGACAGGGGACCTGCACAAAGGTATAATAATAGTAGTAATAACAATAATAGCAGTAGATATAGGGTATTGAGCGTTTTCAATTAATATATTTAGAAAACGAGCATTAACGAAGAGCGAACTCACAAGGGAGAGCTTGCACCTACCTGCTCGGTCTGCCTCCGGTGTACTCAAAGCTAAAACTGCGCGGCGGTTCTACGTCTTTTATGAGGGCGCCCTTCTCTGTAAGCGTTAGGGAGCAGAAATGATTTTGTCTAACCAAGACAAAATTTCTAATTAGTTCACTCCCTTACTCCTCTCCACCACTCTTAACCATAGGTCATCTACGGCTGAAGGACTGTGCAGCTTCTATTGTAAGTCGTTTCCTTCAATGGCACCGATATTCTTATATACTGCCTATATACATCTGTTAGAAGCCACTTGATCAGTGCTGTTTACATTTTGGCCAGGTCCAAAGTAGGCCTCTCCTTAACAAACCTGCTTTATAGCTTGCAATGGGCGCTGAAGACGGCACCTAATGCACACCCATCTTAGCCTGTCCCTCGTCCATTACTTCTCCTGTATGGCGTTAACTGGGTAGCCGTGAGTACGTCGATTCACTTGACGTTGTTTCACCCTGCTGTACTAACTTTGAAGTCGAGGTCCCGGGTTATTTGTCAGGCCTCATTGCGAGAAGTAACTCGGTCTCAACGAATTTCGTCGATGTTCCCAATATTCGAGTGACTCGCAAACGTGTTCTCTTTAGCCTTTCTTACGCGTTCCCGAATGTTGTACATGCATTGTATTATCGGCGTAATAGGTTAGCAGAGCGGTCGAATGCCGCCGTATGAAAATCGATGGGCGTACTCTTACGATACTTACACTGTCCGTATGCTGTCGATCTATTTCGGTGCGATTGATTTGCCTTAGCTTTTAGTTTTGTTTCTAGCATACAGTTGAATCGTATCGGTACATGTTCCGTGCAGATTCTCATCGACTTTGCTTTGCAATGATTACTTTGTTCGCTGTATGTTGGATCATTCTAGCCTTTTAGCTTCGTGACCTGTCTCTATGAGACCGCCGGACACGATGACTATAAGGCCGAACATGTTGTCGATGCCCTTGGGTGAATCCAGCTCCACGGCCATATGGAACAACGATTGAATAAACTACTTATCCCACTAGCGCACTTTTCCTTCATTTTCCAAATCTCACTCTTGCTGATAAGGTAGAAGCCTAAACCTTATCCATGTTTTTCACTGCACACATCCATTTCTAACCTGCGTTAGCACAACTAGAGCACTCTAGTCCTTCTGGTTCACTTACGCTTCTACTTTGCTGTTACCAATATTTACGTAACAACTTCTGAAAACCCAGCGTTTCCGCCCTTTTCATTTTCCCCATTACATTATACCTGTCCCGCGACCTTTAATTCATTTTTAGGTGACTTCACCGTAACAATGGGTTGACATCAGGATCTCCAAGCAACCGATGTCAAGCAGGGTTAGCAGTCTGTTCGGCCTGGATTGACGACACCGAGGTAAAACTCGATTGACAACTGAATCGTTGTAGACGGCCGTCTGGATGCTTCAGCAGATCTGTATCGTTATCTTTGAACCGGCCGCTGCTTACCATACTGGTCAAAATTTATATCAGCTTATGCCGATCAGCCCCACATTTCCCTCAGCAATACACGCTATACATTCAATGGTGTAATACATATAGCAGAATGCAAGACAGCTCCTCGTTCGTGGAGTCGTTGGAATTGTTTCGTTCGTCCTTGTCCTGTCTTCGCTGTGCATTATATTTACTCCTCATTTACTAGGACGCCCTGCGCTGTCGGGATGGCAGGAAGTAGATTCAGACGATCTACGGCGCGAGAAGCGACGTGAAACTTCAAAACAGTTAAAACAGCTTCAGCAGTAGAAATCAATAACATTATATAGCTGTAAAGAGGAACATGGTAGCGAGGCTTTCGATGTCAACATTCATTTGGCACCGGCACTTAGCCGACCATAAGCACAACAGATATAGTAGCGGTTAGGGTAAAACTGGTCGTGCCAAGCAGTGAGGCCAACGTTATCATGAAGAGGTTTAAGCCCAGATATTGACAATAGCTAATGGCTAATTCATGTAGCAATTAACAGGTGTCAACTGGTCGTCGGAGATACTGTCTAGGTACGCGCAGTCAGTTCTTCTCATTTGTACGCTGTTATTTCTTCGAAGATAATTCCTATATGCTTGTTATTTAGATATTGTCGTTGTCATATACACGTATTTCTGACATCCTATTGCATGACGCAGATCATTTCCAACAATAACTGCTATAGCAAGCAAGCTTGTTCCTCTTTGCCATAAGCTTAGAATCTACTAAATTCCTACAAGGAAAGTGCTTTCAGGCTACTTCTTATGAAATTTTACGCGCATCTCTCAAATAACTAACCCCTTCGCTAAATGCAGGACTAAAACTAATCAAAACATTTCGAAAGGGAAGAAACTTTAACAATAAAGCTAAATAAACTGAAGCACCATTTTTGATTTGCGACTGTTTTTTTAAAAAATACAATTTGTATTCGATAATGTACACACCTAAAACCACAAGAGTTCAAGAGGACAAGCATTACGGGCAAGGCGTTATGACTGGACCAATTCGCTTCAACGGATTATCGACACTAAAAGGCCTATTAAGCATCCAATCCACTTGTTGCTTGCCGTTCACGCGGTTATTTAGCCGAGTTCCGCGAAGCAGCCCATTGGAGCGATCCATTGTTTGTCACGTCAGGGCCTTGCCCGTAACGGTAGACACTGGCCTCTGGCATTTAAGGGTCTTGTTCTTGTCGGGGCAGGGATCCAGCCTATTCACTTCTATATTTGAATTCCGGCTGTATAAATCTTTCATTCTAAAATGCTGTTCCATTTATGATGTATGTATTCCTTCCACATTGTATAATTCTGTCACAGTCAAACTAAATAATTTGACAAGCCATAGAAATTTGGATATAGGTGTTTGTGTGTGTGTGGGGGGGGGCAAATAAACTGCTATTTCTGACGGCGCTCCTATTAGCTGACACTAAGCCTAAGGATGACCCAGGTGGCTTTGTGAATAGTACGTATGCTTCGTGGTTTTTGTTTTTATTATATGAGGTTCAAAACTGGCAATGGAAATCCTTCGGTGTCAATGCTCCAACTGAAAGTTTCGTCCATGTTAGCAGTATGGAAAGATCTCTTCCTCTTGTTATAAAAAGTATGTCCCTATTATATTACATAAATCTATTATTATATTTAATAATGCATTTAATATTATTATTCTCATAATTTTGCTCCCTATTGGTAACGAATAGGTGTAGAAATCCGTTCTACTGTGGTTTATTTAACAGTGTTTATGCCCATGTAATTTGATGCATTCGTTCCTTTTGAGCCTACATTGAATACCTTATGAAAAAGGGCGTGAGAACTGAACGGCGTCTATCTCTTTATATAAACGCCTATTTTCAACAACTGATGCTACTACAACTACAGCCTTAGCGGTGTCTGACGGACGTGTACTTCATCACATTGTGTTATATAGAGCGTTATATAATAGAGCGTTTCTCAACGACTGATCTTTTTTATCGTGTGTCTTTTGTATTGCCGGCGTCATGTCAGCTGGTTCTCTACCGCTTCCTCGACGGATCTCTCATATCAATGACAATGACTTGCTGACAAAATTGACGATTCAGTTATGGAGCATTTCATTTTCGAGAACGTGAATGAAACGCTCTCTTGTTTTTGTAAAGTACTTGTATTTGTTTAGAACAATCATTCGTGGCATTCGGAGCTATTCGACGTTAACTGAAAGCGTATATGAGCGCACTTGTGGATGTGTAACACTTCATGTAGTCTCATCTTTTTGAAGTTACTTATGCATGTTTAGATATCAGCAACAGAAAGAGTGTTACCGGTCTTATTGACGGTATATTGTTGTGATTCATCGACTACTGGTATCTTTCTAGATATGTTTTGCTTTGTCTA